GTGAATTACCTCTTTAAATGTAAAATATTTAGTGCAGTTTGGCCCTTATGAATTTCTTTTTCTAATACTACTTTCTTGTTTTTCTCGAAAAAAAAGTTCCTTTTTAATCACCAGTCAATAGAGAGTGTTGCTTTCTGGTCCGAGATGTTGTAGTTAGTTGCGGAATCTAGCAAAACCTTCGGTAGTTATAAGTGAAAACAAGATTATAATATTGTGCGACACAATGTATAATCACTTTTTTTTGTTGTTCACTGTGCTTCACAGGTAATGCCACACCTCGTTTTATCCGCTGCACGGCCTACAGCTTCCCTGTGGAGGCTCAGTCAGCTCAGAAGAGTCATCTCCCGCTGGGTGCAATCGTGTGTCCGCTGGCCAGGCCGGAAAAAGGAGAAGTATGTATGGAAAAAACAGTAAACATTTATTTGGGGAAGTTTAGAATGATTACAATATCCTCAAAAATGTCACTTTTATTTGTCTTATTTGCTAGGATGTTATTTGTGAGTCATTCTGTCATCTTGAGAAATCCCAATCACCTTCACATACTCTTCAGTGTTTTACTGTGGCCTGCTCTTGTAAACATGCTATGTGAATGTTTTCCACAGCGTGATGTGCCAGTTTGTGAGGCGGGAGATTGTGTTAAGGGCTGTGCACACTGCGGGGCCTTCATGAGCCCTGCTATGAGCTGGCAGGACTGCGGGCAAAGATTCTACTGCCCTTTCTGTGACAAACTCAATGAAGGTAAGTCTTGCTTGGCCTACAGTCATTCTCAATTTTCGGTTAAAGCTGTGCACATATGTCCTTCCATCTTTGCTCAAGTATGTATTTTTCTCATAGTGCCATGGCAGTCCTATCAGCCCACTAATCAGGGTCGCCGTGTCGACTGCGAAAAAAAACCTGAGCTCAGTCTTGGCTCATATGAGATCCTGGAAAAACAGACGGTCGGGAATGGCATGGATTTGTTTTGAACTTTATTTTTCTCTTGTTTTATACTATATGTGACTGTATTAGATTAGATTACACATCAGTATTTAATAAAAATTTAATTTAGGGTTAATAGAAACAGCTAGTTCAAAGCATTATCATGTTTTTTGTTTTTTTTATATACACTACCATTCAAAATTTTGAGGTCAGTAAGGATTTATTTATTTGGCAATGACACATTTAATTGAAAAGTGATAGTAAAACATTTAGAATATTATTATTTCACATAAATGCTGTTGTTTTGAACTTTGTATTCGTTAATCCAGAAAAGAAAGTATCATGGTTTCCACAAAAATATTAAGCAGCACAACCGTTTTCAACACTGATAATAATAATAATAATAAATGTTTCATGTCCATCAAATCAGCATATTAGAATGATTTCTGAAGGATTGTGTGACTCTGACGACTGGAGGAATGATGCTGAAAATGTAGCTTTGATCACAGGAATGATTTCATTTTAACGTACATTAAAAGAGAAAGCCGTTATTTAAAATTGTAATAACGTTTTACATTATTACTCTTTTACTGTAATTCTTAATTAAATAAGTGCAGCCTGTGTGAGCATAGGAGACTTATTTAAAAAGCATTTTTTAAATATCTTACCGACTCCAAACTTTTGAAAAGTAATGTACATACAGTAGTCAGCTTTTATATTGATGCCAGTTTTATCTAAATTGTTGAATAGCTCTGACCTCCACTATGATCTACTTAACAGGGTAAAGCTGCTGTGTTGCTGCTGGCGATAGATGTATCTGCCAGTGCGATGAGAACGGGGCAGCTAGACCACATTTGTAAGCAGATTTGTTCTCAACTGCAAGCTTTAAATGGGTAAGGGATGTTAACGTTTCAAATTATTTTCACAATCATGTCCATTCCTAATGTTTGAAATCAATTCTGGAATTCAAATGGCTTGTGAATGTTGTTTCTTTGTTTTAGGCTTGAAGAAACTGACCGATCAGATCTTCGAGTGGGTCTGATGACCTATGACAGCCGGATCCATCTGTATAACCTGAGTCCAGCTCTGTCCCGTCCTCACATGATGGTCATCACTGACTGTGAGGAGCTGGA